GTCTGTGTTGTTGCTGGCCGCGGAGGCGGCACCATGGGCACGGGGTAGAGGGGCAAGTTGGCCACCGCCGCCGCCGGGGGTGGTGGGAAAGCCGCTTCGGGGGAGGGGGAGGGTGGGAGAGGGAGGGACGGGCAGCCGCTCGGCCGCGGCACTTTTTTAATATTTTCGGGTGCCGCAGCGCCGACTCCTTGGCGCTGATGTCTCTGATCCCCGGAGCGACGACGGCCGCTGCCTAACCTGGAAAGTAAGTGTGCGGGCTAGCGGGAGAGCGCGCAGACTCCTGCCCTCGAGACCCCTGGCCCTCGCCCCCTCGCACCCCAGCCAGGACCTGCCTCCGAGGGCGCGGGGTGGACGGGCGCCTCCCTCCCGTTACTCCATCCCCACCGCCTCGCGGCCGCCTCGGCTTTCCTGCCCCACCTCGTGTTCCTGCCCGCACTCGCCTGGTTGCTCCCCTCCCCCCGGCAGGCGCACAAGTTTCACCCTCCATTTGCTTTTCCCGGTGATTACTCTCCACGGGTCTCTCCTACACACCGCACACGACCCCTGCCCACATTGGCCTTTTCGGATCCAGAGCCCCCAGCCTCTAACTTGAGGGCCACGCCGAGCTCTCCTGGACCTCTGCCTAGAGGCTTCCCTGCTCCTGCCCGCCTGGCACGCCGCCCCGCGCCCCTAACACCCCGAGGCGCCCGCCTTCTCCGGCTTTCAGGGCCGTCTGTCGCTCCTTCCCGCCCCAGATCCTGCATCCTGGCCTTCTCCTCTCCCTCTCACGCCCCTGCTGCCTGTGTAGTCTAGCGTTTGCCCCCTGAGTTCCACGCTCCTGCGGGCTCTGCTCACCCCGCTCTGTCTAGTGTGCTCCTCTCTCCCCACCGCGTATGTTCACGCTCCACCCCACCCGGTTCCCCAGCCCCGAGCTTCCCCGGCTGTCCTCCTGCGCCGCCGCTTCCTTCTTTCCCTGCCAGGAGTTGAAGCGGAGCTGCGGCAACCCCCCCTGGCGGATCGAGTGTCCCTGCTGGGCGCTGGGACTGCCCGGCTCTCTCCCCTTTTCCCCCTACCGGGAAAGCGAGGGTTGAGCGGCAGGGCCGGGATTTGGCTGCGTGTTGGCTGAGTGCGACAAACAGCGAGCGCAGGCAGCGGAGGCGCCGCAGCTGCCGCGGCTGCTCGGGGCGCAGCAATAGGCAGGTGTCTGTCCGAGGG